GGCATTGCCACAAAATAAATGTTGATTATCTAGGCAGGCCCGCTTCGCAGGTAAAACCGATGTCAGACTTCATTTATTAGCTGTGATCTTCCTGGTTAAATTTGCCCTTTACGATGTGCTTCAACAGCGTGACGAGGGTAACTGACAGCGAATGTCTCCAAGGTTTGTTCCCGTCCAATTGTTCCACCATCTGCAGTGATGGCGCGAGACGAGACACGAATGCCGTTACAAGAGGCCACGTGCGGTTCTTTTAAGATGGTCCGGTATCGCTTGTTAAGCGATCGTCGATTATCGCTCACCGACATCGTTTCAGTATTCACTAGTCTTCGGAGATGATTGACATGCTTGGCTGGTGGTGCATATAGAGAAATGATGTCACTACGCAGCTTCGGCAATTTAACTTTAGCTTGGTGCTTTGTGCGTGACGAAGGTAAACTAAAGCGTAAGACAGCGCAAACCAAAGTTCGTTCTGCCGATTCAGACAGTCGACATGCGACTTTACAACCATCTTCAATGCTATATTCACCCAGCCTGTGTTAACTCCGACTTGGTGTCATTCACAGCCGGGTGTCGGCGGCGTGCATTGCAGGCCGCATTCACTCATACGATCGATTCGATTTTCGATATTGACCCGCCGATGACATTTATCTTCCGTCACACGATAAAAACATCGTGACTATACTAAGAGTCGCTATTCGAAATGTCGGGCAATGTCGACCGTCACCATCATTGATATAGCCGCGTCGACCGGGTTTGCTCGCCTTACGATATCTTCAACCGCCGCTGGTTCAAGATTACGTTCGCGCTGCGTGGTGGTCATTTAACAGATTATTCGATCGCACCGAAATAGTGATATGGTTACCGAAAGAAATTAAGCGCGGTCATATCTTCATCGAAATCATTCAGTACTGCGTTCTTCATACCAGAAAAAACTTTACAGCGACTCAAAAGCGATGCGTATTTTCATACCATCACCAGTTAATGTTCCCACGTCAGTCAAATGCTTTCCTTTATTCAATATTCAAGCGCGTCGAAAATTAAGTCGCGAGCGCATGTTTCAGTTTGAGCGAAAATCACAGAACAAAGACAAGGTGTATCACGCCATGAAAGAAATCGTTTGATAACGCCGATTCGTACTACGCATTTGTACCGAAGTCTTTGGAGATACCATAATGCATAGCAGAGAAAACGATGTCAGAGACTTTGTACCAGTTAATAAACCTCTCCTCATCAATTCTTCTCTCGATGTTGTGCTTCGAATAGCGTTTATCTTAGCGAATGACGATAACGTCCGAAGGTTTGCGCTCGCAGCAAAAGAAACATGCACTGTTCGTGGCAGGCGATGACGCGACGGCGACACCTTCGCCAGCCGCAGCGTCAAAGGCATGTTATTTGGGATGTGTTCTCAGATTGTAGAAATTACAACCATCTTCAACAAATATTGCATTTATTCGAGCACCGGGTAATGTCTGGTTGGTCAAAATACTAACATAATAGCTTAGCAACAACATTGCCGTCACCAGCGTTGTGTGCTCCCGTCAACAAAAGAACAACAGTTCGTCAACATAATGTAGCGAATCGTTATTATTGCTCATCATAAGCTCATCATCGTTGTATTCGCGTTCAGTTTGCGACGATTCGGCGCCAGAGGCATTTGCAGCAGTATTGTTCCGGAAGTCAATACAGTCGGATTTCAAGCACCGTGGATGAACGTACCAGCAAAAGCCGCAAGCCGATTCTTGGCGCAGTTTTAAATGGTTATTTCGGCATATCACCAATGTGAACATAAACTTCGACAGCAGTCAGCCGGTTTTAGAAATAATCAATAATCCTCACTGTTACCCGACTATCAAAGTCTGAGTATCGTAAACGCTTTAGCAATATTCGTTTTTCACTGAACCGAAACATGCCATAATGTTGCTTCCATACGTTATTAAACAAAAGAGCACGGTATTCCGATACAAAGGAGCACCAAAATCGGCAACTCAATATTTATACAGTACCTTAAAATCAATACTGTTGATACATTGTCAGTTAATGTCAACCGACTTTGGCTTCGGCAGTTTCACATACAGATTACAGCTGCATAGACACTATAAAGCTCGACCGAAGAGTAGTAATGCCAATACGAATTTTCAAACGCATAATATCACCACGCCAGATCATGTATTTCTCGAAGTTGACGCCGCGTGTCAGTAGTGTACAACTATCACGATTTGAAACAAACACTGTTCGACCAGGCCACGCCGTGACTTTGTTTGTGTCATGCTTGGTCATCAATACGGTCGGCGGTTCGACGTAGATATTCGCGGCAGCCCGTGGTAAAGCTGGGTAACGTTATTTTCAACTCGTTGTGGGGACCCGGCATTCACCGTCCGTTGTCGTGTTGCGCCCCAAAATGGTGGAGGACGGTTCGGTGGCTGAAGGCACTGGTTCAGGAATAACGACTCGCCCTACTGCGCCTGATGGGCGGTTATTCAGTCGGTTCAACCAATCGGCCGTCATGTCAGGTTCCGTACCGCGATTTGGCGTAATTGCGATTTCAATATTGTTTAAATTGTCTGGCACTTTTGCTCATGTAACATCGCTGATTTTGCAATAGCGCGTTTATCGTGAACTTCGCCTGAGCCCATGCTCAGGGCGGTGAAGCTCAGGTAAGAATTACCTTGTTTTTCGCAGGAATAATACCTCCGAAAGTACTTCAGTGCCGCAAATTACGGGCGGGCGTTTCATTTATTTGGAAATCAATAAAAACTAACCATTTGCTGGCGCCAATGAAACCCCCCAAAAACCTCAACGTTCACTGACACCGATCCGCAGGGTACTCCATCGGCCTGATCGCATTATCCATTGATATTATTACGCTGCTTTTGCGATGGAGACTTCATCACTGTTCAGTTAGTCTTTTGTTTACTTTGCAAAGGTATACAGCAGTATACCGGTGTTGTGGTATCAACGTTTATCACGTTAGTTGTAGCAAGGGGTCGGTATTCCGAGCGACTATCGAAAACGTCTGCCGGCAATTGTTCAAACGCTCTGTGCGGTCACCGTTAGTTGCCGTTGCCTTTGCTGCACTCTTCAAGCAATGACCCTGAACATAAACGTTTGATACTTTTACAACACCGGTTATGCCTTGTATGCCTTTTGCAAAGTAAAACAAAAGATTTTAACTTTAGTCTGGTGTTATCTTGAGTCTCCATCACTAAGTAACGTGGCCAGTAATCAATGGATGTGGACAGTCGTTGGTCGTTACCCACTCTGGATCGTGTGTCAAGTGGACGTTAAGGGTTTTTTAGGGGTTTCGTATGCCATGGTTAGTTTTAATGGTTCATCATCCGAGCTCTCCACCCTCCATGGAGTATCACAAGAGACAATGTTAAACACAAGTGGACCTCCGACTTGCAGCACCAAGGATACTCGGATGATATATTCCCGCAGAAAACCTAAAAGATTAATTTTTCTACCAGATTGGCCTATGAGCCACCGCCCTCTGGGCATAAGACTCTAGGCAAAGTTCACGATAAACATATTACAAAAAATCAAATGATGTTTCACATGAACAAAGGGTGCCAAGACCAAAATTTAAAACAATATTAAATCAAATGTTGTGCAATTACGCAAAATCTATGGGTACAGGGCTTGATATGACCAGCCGATTGGGTTGAACCAGGCTGAATTCAATCCACCCGTCTAGGTGATGAGGCGCGAAGTGGTGTGTTGAGCAAACGAACGCTGTTCCTGAGACCAGTGCCTTCAACCACCAGACTCCCATCCTCCACCGACACAGGGGCGCAAACTCCACGGCAAACGGGTTGGTGGATCTCAAATATACCCCGGGTCCACAACGGGGTTGAAGAGCTCTTAGCGTTACCCAGCACCCACCACGAGGAGGTGGCTCTTCACGGGTGCCCTCTACGTCAAGACCACCGACCATGCTGGTGGCTAAACGTAACCTGAACCTGTAAGGGACTTGGGAAGGAACGCGTCACATCGTTATTGGCTGTGGCCCCGTCGTCAGTGAATTAATGTTTGACAAATCGTGATGGTTATTACGCACTACTGACGCACGGTAGGCGTCAAATTTCTGAAAAATACATGATCCCCGGCGTCCACAGAGATCGTTGGTGTGTGCGTTTAAAGTATGTGGCATTATATATTCGTCCTCTTTGAGTCGAACTTTATAGTGTCTATACGAAAGCTGTATCTGTGTGCTGAAGGCTGCCAAGCCAAAAGTCGAGTTGACGGTGTGACAAATGTATGTAGTGTTATTGATTTGCTAAGGTACTGTATAAATATTGAGTTATGATTTTGAGAGTTATGCTCAGCTTTGCTTATCAGATTACCGTGCTCTACTGACAACAACACGTCTTTTATGCGGCTGAAGTGCACGAAGTAGGCTCTGTATGTTTCGGTTCCAGGTGAAGAAAAAACGAATGTATACAAAGCGTTTTGATATAAGGGTTTATTGAACTATTGATTAAGAATGGAGTAACAGTAAGTTATTGATTATTTCTAAAACCAGTATTTGTAATCAGAGTTTATGATACATTGGTGATACTTTGAAAATAACCATTTAAAACCCCCAAAACCCTTAAGAATATTTGCAGCTTTTCTCAATCACGTTCATCCACAGTGCCCAAGTCCGACTATGGTGGTGACTCCACTGAAAAGACGGAAAAAAGCTACTGCAACACAAATGCATCTAAGCGCCAAAGGTCGAATCACCCAAACTAAGTGCAGATACAACGATGATGAACTTATGATGAGCAATAGTAACAGTTCTCTGATTATAGTGACAAAGACCTTGTTTTGTTCTTTTGTTTGACAGGAGGCAATACGAAACATATGTTGACAACAATATTTGTTACTAAATATATGGTAAAGAAGCAGACATTATTTGATAATAACTTAAGACATTACCCAGTTATGAATAAATACAATATTTATTGAAAATGGTTGTAGTTTCTCTAATCTGAAGAACACATCCCAAATGTACATACCTTTGACACTGCAGCTGGCAGAGGTTGTCATAAGAATCACGTCATCATCACTGCCACAGACAGGTGCATGGTCTTTTGTACAGGCACAAACCTTCGGACATTCTCCTCCGTCGGATTCCTTCGTCGTACTATTGAAGCACAACATCAGAGAGAATTGGTGGGAAAGTCAACGAGGTTTATTTAACTGGTACAAGTCTGACATCGTTTTCTCTATATGCATTATAATTATCTCCAAAACTGAGTACAAAATTACGTAAAACACGAATCAACGATTATCAAAACGGTTCTTTCCATGATAGTGATATACACCTTGTCTTGTTCTGTGGTTACCATAAAGCTAAAAAACATACCTCTGACCAATTTTCATTGCCTTGGATATGGTAAAGATAAAAGGAAAAGCGTGTTTGATGATGACGTAGAACATTAACTGGTGATGGTATATGAAAATACACATCACTCCTTTTTAGTCCTTGTAAAGTTTTTTCTAGTATGAAGAACACAATGTACTAGGGCTGCAACGATTCGGTTCGATTCATTGAAAATCGAATATGACACCTATAGTTTCGATTTTCGATAACCATTATCACTATTTCGATTCGATATTTGAATATCTATTTAAATTATTTCCACACAGCCAGAACGTAATCTTGACTCCAACTCGAGCAGTTTGGGGCGCAGAAATAAGGCGAAACAAGATTGGTCGACGCCTGGCTAATAATCCAATGATAATTGTTTGTTAGTCGACATTGCCGACGATGGATTTCAGGCTAATGAAACCGACTCTTTGAGAGTTAAATGAAATCTGATGTTTTTACTCGTGTGACGAATCGAATCGAAAATGATCGAATCGAGGGTCCAATATCGAAAATCGAATCGAATCGAGGTCTGGGTGAATCTTTGCAGCCCTACAATGCACACACCCTTGACACCCAGCTGGCATTGGTTGTCACAAGTCAAAGGGTTAGACACAAGAGCAAGGATAATTTTGAATATAGCATTAGGGAATGGTTGTAAAAGTCACGCCATCATTGTCACAGATCGGTAGAACGGACTTTTTGGACACGCACAAATCTTTGATACGCTTTGGACACCTTCGTCGCACTTTTAAAGCACAAAAGTAAAGTTAAATTGCAGAAAGCTGCATGAAATTTGACATCGGTTTCTCTATATGCACCTGTAAACGTATCAATCATCTCCAAGACTAAGTGAATACCTAAACGATGTCAGTGAGCAATGAATATTTGATCATAGCTTAAGACATTACCCAGTTATCTTAAAAGAACCACACATCCCAAATGTACACACCCTTGGCACTCCAGCTGGCATTCGTTGTCATAAGTCACGCCATCACTGCCGCAGATAGGTGCAAAGATAAGTGGACAGAGACAAACCTTGGGACATTCGCCGTCGGACACCCTCGTCGCACTGTTGAAGCACATCAGTAAAGTTAAATTGTAGGAAGGTCTACAGGCATTCTTAAATGCTAGAAGTCTGACATCGGTTTTTTATATATGCACCTGCAAGCGTATTTATCATCTCCAAGACATGCCTAGATGAATCAACGATTTATTTTGTAGCAACTGCCTCATTATAGTGATAACCCATTGATTTGATTTTTTGTTTGTCAGGTTCAAAGGATACTGAACCTAATAAAAATGGTAACTTAACATAGATATGGTAAAGGTACAAAAGCAATGATTATTTGATTATAGCTTAAGACATTAGCCAGTTATCTTAAAAACATGCATCCTAAATGTACACACCCTTGACAATCCAGCTGGCACTGGTTGTCATAAGTCACACCATCACTGCCGCAGACAGGTGAAAGGACATCAGGACATGCACAAACCGTCGGGCATTCTCCGTCGGATTCCTTCGTCGCACTATTGAAGTACAACTTTAGAGATTAATGGTAGGAAAATCAACTGCTAGAAGTCTGACATCATTTTCTCTATACACACCTGTAAGCGTATTAATTAATCATCTTTAAAACTGAGTACATACCTGGGAGATGAATCAACGATTAAATATTATAACAGTTCTTTCATTAAAGTGTTAAACACCCTGTTTTGTTCTTTGGTTACCGTAAGTCATACAAACATACCCCTGGATAATACTGATTGTCATGGATATGGTAAAGATGAATTGGAAGAGATTATTTCATGACAACTTAAGACTATATCTGGTAAACAATATTTGAATATACACCTAACTAATTGAAATGGTCGTGTGTTTAAGTCCTTGTAAAGTGTTTCTAAACTGAAGAAAACGTATTCAAAATGTGTAGACACCCTTGAAACTCCAGCTAGTATTGGTCGCCACAAGTCACAGAGTTAGGTACAAGAGCAAGGGTTATGAGACTATAGCATAAGACATTGGTTGTAAAAAGTCACGCCATCACTACCACAGTCAGGTGAAAAGACTTTCCGGACAGGCGCAAACCTTTTGGACAAGCTCCGTCGCCTTTTAAAAAGCACAACAGTAAGGTTCAATTGTAAAAGGTGTGCAAGGATTATTAACTGCCAGAAGTCATCGGTTTCTCTATATGCCCCTGTAAGCGTATTAATCATTCAAGTGCATGCATAAACGATGTCAGTGCAAAGAGATTATCTTAGTATAGCTTAAGATATTACCCAGTAATCTAAAACCATACATCCCAAGTGTACACACCCTTGACACTCCAGCTGGCATTCGTTGTCATAAGTCACGCCATCACTGCCGCAGACATGTGAAAGCTGTTTTGGACAGGTGCAAACCTTGGGACATTCTCCAAATCGGATTCCTTCGTCACACTGTTGAAACACAACAGTAAAGTTTGATTGTAGGAAAATCTACAAGGATTCTTAACAACTAGAAATCAGACATCGTTTTCCTATATATGCACCTGTAAACGTATTAATAATCTCAAAATTGAGTACATACCTGAAAGATGTTTAAGCGACTTAGTATTATAACAGGTTTTTCATTATAGTGATACAGCCTGGGCCCTTGTTTGGCATAAAGCATAAAAACCATACCTCTGAACAAAGTTCATTGCCAAAGGTAAAAGGAAAAGATAATTTGATGATAACTTTAAGACTTTATCTGGTGAATATTATATGAATATACATATATCCCATTGAAATAATCGGATTTTTTCAGTCCGTGTAAAGTGTTTCTAATCTGATGAGACACACATTCCAAATGTACACACCCTTGACAATCCATGAGGCATTGGTTTGCCATAAGTCACGCCATCACTGCCGCAGACTGGTAAAAAAGAGTTTTGGACAGGCACAGACCTTGGCACATTCTCCGTCGGATGCCTTCGTCGCACTAGAAGCACAACAGTAAAGTGTGATTGTAGAACCGTCTACAAGGATTTGTAATTGCTTGCAGTCTGACATCGTTTCTCCATTTGCACCTTTAAGCGTATTTATCATGTCCAAAACTGTTTGCATACCTAAATTATGAATCAACGATTTAGTGTTGTAACATGTCTTCCATTATCATACAAACCCCTTCTTTGTTTCTTTGCTTGACTGCAAGCAAGCATACTCACCTTTATAAACAATATTCCCTGGTATGGATATGGTGAAGGTAAAGAAGCATTAATTAAATAAAGGTGTATATGGTGCCGACCCTGACTCCTCTAAGGGAAGTTCAAGGCTCGGTGATGCATGATATAAGGTAAATGTAGTATGGCCTGACATGATGTATGCCTACCCGGCACAGGAGAGGAAACATTCGTTGGTGTAGGTGTTGCCGTCGTCCCCGCAGACAGGGGTGTTGGTGTCATCACAACAACAGTCCTGACCTTGACAGACGCTGGTCAGAACTAAGTAAAACAGAGATTGAAGTAAAAGAGGGTTACAAGGTATCGAGGAACACAGAGGCAAAACAGAAACTCCGCCACCGTTGGCTTTTTGGGACTTCCGGTAATGCATTGCGACAGCTAAGACGGGTGAAGATAGCGCTCCGTCTAAATCCTCTTCAATCATCAAACATGGCAGCAACCCGGAGCCAAAACAAGTCAAAAGACAACTTACAATCAACCAATATCACTAGCCTTGAAAGATTTAGATCCGATGGCGTTTCTAGACAAAAACCCTGCGCAAAAGAAAAAGACGACGACACTACCGGAAACGAAGACCGCATGGCCATGATGGCGGACGAACCGATGGATATGAGGGCATTTTTCACAGCCCAAATAGATAGGCTAGCGGACAAACTAACGGGAAAAATGGACATGATACAGGAAGAACTGACAAACACAAATACAAGAATCTCAGAGGTAATCAGTTCCATCTCTTTCAATTCAAAGGCCATTGATGAAAATCGCCGGGAAATCAAAACTCTGAAAAAGACAATTAGTGAGTTACGAGACGACATGGAAAAACAGGATATGGTCTTTGAGATGCACTCACGGAAACAAAATCTACTAATCTACGGGGTTCCAGACGCTAAGAATGCCGAAGCTGAAGTGAAAAAACTGTTTGAGGAAATGAATGTGGAGAACGCCAACAAAATGGATTTTGTAAATATCCATAGACTGCCACGTTACGCAACTACAGGACGCTCTGCAGAAATGCCTCTGCCTATTGTTGTGAAATTCGTGCGGATGACTGATAGGCAGTTGGTCTTCAATGCCACATTCACTAACAGACAGATGCTACGGGAAAATCATATCTCTATTCGTACAGACTTACCAGTCAAACTGAAAAAGTTCCGTGGAAAACTTGCTACCAGAGCGTATTTCTTGAGGAAAGAGTACAACGTGCACACTAAAATTGTTGAGAAAGGTATCGACATCAGGCTGTGCTACAGGCAAAATAAGGATTCTCAGTGGCGAGATATTGGACTGGACGATACGCCTATTGTTAGATAAACTAGATCATTGTGAATTACCACTTGCTCTATATGCTGTTGCCAATCATTGACGGACTGCTGGACTGAGGCATACCGCCGAAGATCATGAGCAAGTTATCGGACAGGAGGATATTCCGATTATTGTGAAAACCACGATCTACAACTTGTGTGCCGAGTAACTTTTGGAGAATGCCACTGTAATGCTGTAATGGACACTACGAGCTCCAGGAATACTGAAAACTATGTTTATAAACTGACCTACCATCTGAACTGTTGGAATGTGTATTTATAATGAGGGACAATTAATTATATAATGCTGGGACCCTGTACAAAATGGGACGTGTGTGAGAACACTTAGTTTGTGGTTGAACACTCGATCTCTGACCATGTCAGATATATAACATGTGTTATTTTTATTCGTTGGATTTCTGGAATGAGGAGGGCCCTTGGCACGGTAAGGACAGTCCCCAGTCTATATTTTTTCCTGATAAAAACAAAATAACAAGACTGCTAAATATTTCAAAACATTTCAAAATGTGAGATATTTTGTTTATGCATCTGAAATATATAAACAACAACGGACCTCTCTTATAATAAGGTAAATAATATGACAAATATTGTACACCCTCTCATAGAAGGTCTAAATTCGGTGCTGCCGATTTTGAATATGCTCATAAACGAGTGGTATCTATGTATAACTGTCTCACACTAGTGACATCCAGCTTGATGTATCATATGTAACCTCTTGTGTAAATGTTTCTGTTAAAGACAGAAGTCACTGTTTATAAAATACGTTTCTTCTATTCAGGATTATGTAACTAATCCTTCAATTCACTTCAAGAGTTTTATAACTTACTTATATCTTTTTTCACTCCAATCCCTTAGTTAACTAGACATCAAGTTGTTCAAACTATTATGAGTTGTTCAAACTATCATGTTGGATTGAGAGACTTACATCTTTTTTCACTCCAATTTCTTAGTACACCCTTCCATAGAAGGTCTAAATTCGGTGCTGCCGATTTTGAATATGCTCCTAAACGAGTGGTATCTATGTATAACTGTTTCACACTAGTGACATCCAGCTTGATGTATCATATGTAACCTCTTGTGTAAATGTTTCTGTTAAAGACAGAAGTCACTGTTTATAAAATACGTTTCTTCTATTCAGGATTATGTAACTAATCCTTCAATTCACTTCGAGAGTCCTATAACATACTTATATCTTTTTTCACTCTAATCCCTTAGTTAACTAGACATCAAGTTGTTCAAACTATTACGAGTTGTTCAAACTATCATGTTGGATTGAGAGACTTACATCTTTTTTCACTCCAATTTCTTAGTTAACTAGACATCAAGTTGTTCAAACTATTACGAGTTGTTCAAACTATCACGCTGGATTGAGAGACGACGCTACATAATACTTATACCACCATGATCACCCTTCTTTTAAACTTCTTGGACATCAAAGGTTGTTTGAAGTCAGTTCCTACAACTTATTTATACTTTTATACACGCCAATTTCTTAGATAATTGGATATAAGATGTTCAAACTGGCATGTTAGATATTTTCATCACCACGATCAACCTGCGCTTAAACTTCTTGATGAACGAGACACAAAAAGTTGTATGAATCATCATGTTAGCCTGAGACATAAATGTTACTTGTACTTTTATCACTTCTCTCTTGAATTGTTCAATGAATTAGACACAAGTGTGTGAAATTACTATGTTAGCCGGACATATGACGGCTACATAATATTAACTCTATAATTCACTTTAATCCCTTAGTGAACCTGACTTAAGTCGTTGAAATCATGTTTGATTGAGGGATGAATACTACTCTATATTCACATCATTTTCCAAAATGTGAGATGTACGGCTACATACTATTAACTTTATAATTCACTTTAATCTCTTAGTGAACCTGAGATCATGTTTGATTGAGATATGAATACTACTCTATATTCACATCATTTTCCAAAATGTGAGATATATGGCTACATATTAACTTTATAATTCACTTTAATCTCTTAGTGAACTTGACATAAATCGCTGAAATCATGTTTGATCGAAATATGAATACTACTTTATATTCACATCATTTTCCAAAATGTGAGATATTGTGTCTATGCATCTGAAATACACAAACAACAATGGACCTTTCTCATATAATGCATATAACACGAAAATTACCGCTCTCCCTTTCATAAAAGGTCTAAATCCAGTGCTGCCGATTTTGAACATGCTCCTATCTGAGTGGTACTTGCGTATATTTGTTTCATATTAGTGACATCCAGTTTGATGTATTATATAAATCTTCTTATGAAAAAGTTTCTGCTAGAGACAGAAGCCATTGTTTAAAAAAAAACAAAACATGTCTCATCTATTCAGGAATATTAACTGAGTCCTTCGATTCACTTTGAGACTTCTATAACTTATTTACATCTTCTTTCACTCTAATTTCTTAGTTAAGTAATGAGTGAAATCATTATGTTAGATTGAGATGTGCTTGTTACATGATATTTGGTACCTAAATCCATGCTTAGTTTGATATGAAGCTAGCCAAGGTATCGAAATTATTTTTTGAGTTCTCAAATCCTTGTATCTATATTACCCTTTACTTAATTTTTTTAGTGAATCGAAGATAAGTCTAAAATAAGACTTGTTAACCATGAACTCAGGCCCAAACGTTGGGAACGAATTCTTTGATGCTTGATGAATCCTTATTCCTGTAAGATCTTTCTTTTCAATTTTCCTAGTGAACTAGATATCATAAGTTCTGATATCGCCATTGAAATTGTGATTCTGAGATGTGACTGTTATATAACACTTTTACACATATTCACACTTTGATGTTCACTGAACTTTTCTTTTATATTTTCGCTTGTTGCTATTACCTAACCACGTCACTTTAGGTTAAGGAGCAAATAGACGGAAGCGTCAAACCTGTCTTATACAACATTATACGGATGTTGTTTCTTTTTATTTCCCTTTTTCTACAAAGTTTTTTTCTTTTATTTTCCAGCAAACTTAAAAAACATTTTAATGGGCATATAGGAGGGTATAGCAGACACCCCATGAGACTGCTTACTATGACAACAATAAAAACAGTTTTGCTTTTAAATATCATGTCTCACTTTGAAAATGGATAATAAAATTAAAATAGTTTCCGCTAACTGTAGGGGACTAGCTGACAAACAAAAGAGAAGAGAGATTATGAACATTTGGAGAAAACGTAAAGCCACCGTTATATGCCTGCAAGACATACACATCTCTGAAAAAGACGAGAATACCATGAGGAATGAATGGGGTTTGAAATGTATCATATCACCATTTCGGTCAAATTCTAGAGGTGTTGCAATATTGTTTAACAATGATAGAGAGATCGATATTCATAAATATAAGAAAGATGAGAATGGTAATTTCATCATTGTTGACATAAGTATCGATGGTATAAGAATAACCCTAGCCACTATCTATGGCCCTAACCAAGATACGCCAGATTTTTATAGAAATCTATTTAATCAAATTGATGCATTCGATAATGAATCAATTGTGCTCTGTGGTGATTGGAATGTGGTACTTGACCCAACTATAGATCTAGAGAACTACAAACATATTAATAACCCTAATGCAAGAAATATTATTTTGGAAAAAATAGATCAACTTAACTTGACAGATATCTGGCGTGATCTTAATAGTAATACGAGAAAGTATACTTGGTGGAAAAAAAACCCTAGACAGCAAGCCAGGTTAGATTTTTTTTTGGTCTCCCACGATGTTGGTTGTATGACAGTAGACACCGAAATTCTTCCTGGTTATAAATCTGACCACTCTACCATAACACTTACTTTTTCAAATAATAATAACACAAGAGGAAAAGGCTACTGGAAATTTAACACCTCTTTACTGCGAGACAAAGAATACATAAAAATAGTAAGGACCGAGATAGAACTAGCCAAACAGCAATATACATTTAATAACTATACCGAAGATATAAAGAATATTGATGAAAATGACTTGCTCTTAAATATCGATGACTGTCTCTTTCTGGAAACTTTGTTGATGAATATTAGAG